AACAGGATGCACAAAAAATTAAAGCTGTTATCTCCACTGCTTTAGCAAACAAAATGTTCTTCAAATAAAATTTAGGGTATAGTATATATGAATATATATTACATGAAACTACATCAGTAAAACATGAGAATATTTCCTTTTAGTTTTCTTTTTAGGGTTCATGTATGACGTTGTAACTTTAAAAGTCAAGAAAATTCATTATTAATACCTATGTTGAAACAGAGTTAAAAAGGAGAACATTTCTGAAAAAGAACAAAAATACAGCTGTAAGGGTTTTTCTTTTTATTAGATTCAAAAATAAATGTCATAAAATCAGGAAATTCAGAACTAAGATTAAAAAAAAGGAGGGATCAGTATACATCAGTGCAATCTCAAATAACCTTAGATATGCACTCTAAGATCACAACACTACAAAGAATATTTTTTAATGTTTTTGATCAGAGATTAGATGACAGTGATTTTTAAACATTTATTTATTTCTCTCCCAAAACAAGCACTGGGAACTGTATGAAAGAGTGAAGATTTTCTACATACCTTTATTTTCTTTCGTTTTTACACTTTAACGTGTCTAGATTCAAGTATGACTTTATTTTTGAATTCTCTTTGCTTAAAATGATTATTTTGGGGTAAACTATAATTTTTGAGATGTATTTTAAATTAACTCATTAATACAGTACTTCATCCTTAACTCTGTCTTAATGTCATCTATGTGATGTGAATGCGCTCACCTTCTTAAATTCAAATCATATACATGACTGCTAAAAATCAAACGCAAAGATAATATTATTATGAGTTATTTCTAATGTTTCCAAGAAACAGAAACACACACACGCACACACACACGCACACACACACACACACACACATGCACATTTTATTTTAAGTAAGCTTTATGACCAGGTTCATTGATATGCTGCGGTTGTTTTAGGCTACGCTGGAGTGGTGCAGTGGAGCATGCTGGCTGATTAGGGTAAATTTACAGCTCCTTTGTTGAATAAAAGCAGTGCAAAGCAGTTGGAAGGCACACCTCAATTTCCTTCTGTCTCTTGCATCTCCCTCCCTGTTCTGAACACTCACATTTGTTTCCTCCTGCATCTGCTGTATTCTGCTATATAAAAACACATCTCCCTTTCTGCCCTCTATAAACTCTGAGTACATACATGCACATGTACAACAGAGACCTGTGCCTCTGTCTGCTGTCTTCTTTACTGACCACATCTGGTATAATGTGTAGCTTATGAAAATAATTATTTTAATATGAGTAGTTGATCATTGCTGTTATTTATTCTGTAACTATGTGCAGAAGTTAGTGGATTATATTTTCATACACTCTTGTGTAGAATCACTGTCTTAGAAGACAGCCGCCATCTTCCGTTGTTTTCAAACAGATTAAATTGAATTTAGCTTAAATAGGTGAAAGTGAATGATGAAACAAAACTCTCTAAGGGCAGAGATACCTTGGTCCTTGAGAGTAATGGAAAAGAGCTGTGCTTTTGTGCTATCACTGAGAAAAAGAAGAGGTGGCTTCCCTTAGAAAAAGGACATTCTTTCAAAGATTTTTTTAGATAGACCAGTTGCTGAGCTATAATAAACATCAAATAAAATTTTTCTGGCAATATTAAGATATGCATTGTTTTTATTATTGCACTTCTTTTTCATTCTATAGAAACTTCTATCTCTCGCTTACATTTTTACTACCTCCTTGTACTTAAGGTACAAGTACCTATTTTCTTAGAAGAAATGCAAAAGAAATGAGAAGTAAAACATATTTTCTTATACATGGAAGTCATCTTCACACTGGCTTCAATCATTTAAATTTGGTTTTGCACTAAAAAGAGTTAGCTTAAAAATGCAATAAAAACTCTTCACGTAGCATCAAAACCAAAATGGCATATTCAAACTAGCACCATAATTTTTCCAGTTTCCCACTAGACTCCCACTGGAGCCACTCTCTCAGCATACCTTTGAAGTGATTATTCTGTGTTATGCTTCTAACTCATCTTCAGTTGCATTGCATTTTTACAGAGGAAAGCTGGGAGGTTTTTCCCCACTCCTTGAAAGAAATAGAAATATTTTCTAGGAAAGCTTGGAGCAATTGAGGAGGATTTGGAGGACTGAGGTGGAATTTCATTCCATCACAAGATTCAGGTAAAATTGATTTCCCTAGTGGTTTATTCAGCTGAAAATCACAAATATTTACCTACTTACATGTGTGTACATGCTTTTACAGTTCTAGAAATAGATTCCACTCCAAGAACTGCATTCATGATATCAAATATATCATTCATCTATCATATATACCTGGTTAAGAGCAAAACTTTAGTCACAGAAAAAATAGCCTTGGTCTCTTTTTCTGTGGATATAACCATTTAGAAGGTTCTCCGCTGTGAAATTTGACAGTTAATTAAG